CGCTACTAGTAGCTCCTGGCCTTACCTAGGAGCAAGGACGCTACTAGGAACATACTTTCTCTCTTTGTATCCAGGCAATTGCCTACGAGGCGCTGGTGGGACGACTCCGAGCTGAGCTGCGCTGGGAGCGTGCGTCGCGACACAGCTGCGAGCAGGCGAGAAGACATGTCCAATCAAATTGCGGTAAGTTTCTGAAGGGAAGGACATAGCATGTGCTGCTCAAAAGGTGCAGGTTTATACAATGCACCTGAAACTTGTCACAAAGGGACCATCAGCAATGCAGGGGTCAGAATAATCTTGCAAGTTCAAACGTCACCATTCGCAGAAAGTAGTGCACGACGTTTGCTTGGAACGTAAAGAGAACCTTTTTGATGACTACCTGGTGACTGATGCCAGCAGGCTTTGGAAACACTTCGTGGCTCGTATGGCCTTGCTTCCAAGTCTTAAATGAAGCTGACTAATTTCAGGATGTGAGTTGCTGGGAGGGCTGAATCAGCTGAGCTTGTTTTGGCGATTGTTTGTGTAGGAGAGGGGCCGAGAGAGAGGCCGAGAGAGACATAGAGAGAGAGAGAGAGGTGATACTGCAATTGAAGGCTCCATACATACTCAAGCTTGTAGCCCTGCATCTACGGAATCTATGGTTTCGGGACTTTGCACCAAGGTCTCCTGCTGAGCAGAGTTCCATCAAAGTGCTAATGGCCTTGACTCCTATCGTGGAGTTCATGGGGATTTTTAATTTCTGGCACATGCCGAGTGTACAATAGTTAAAATAATCGAGCCGTCCTGGCTTCACGCGAAATGTCCTCTTCAGCGTTGGCTGGAAATAGATTCAATGTGGTTTGAGTGATCCATAATCGGGCCTGAGTATTGTTTGCGCCTCTATTGAATATCTTGCTCTTGTGCATCAAGCAATCCAATGCCATTTTGGCTCAGTGCTTTATTTGATTGTTTCTCGTTTTGCAGTCTTTTTCCTTTTGGCGCTGTGCGCGCCCAAAGTGCAAGGCGAGGCTTGAACACCATGCCATTCTTTCGCAAGGCAAGGTTTGTTAGTCAGTGTCAAAACTTCTCCAACTGGGCTCACGTTTATTTTGGTCGATCTTCAAAAGCTGCTACTTTGTACAAATTCCGCACAGTAATTATTCGGATACGGCCTGCGACAAGGGCCTGCTAAAGTTTAAGTTGCCAATTAACTCTGTGATGCAACAGTGCTTTCATGGTGGACGACGCAACTTTCGGTGGTGCTGATTAGGTCAGCTCCACTCATTTGCTTGGGATGTTGACGAGTGCCTGATAGCCCCTCCTCAGGCGATGCCTCCTAGCCTGGATGATTTTATTCTGATGAAGGCAATGAAATGACATAGTCTTGCAGAAAGATGTCAGATGTGAGATCCTCTGACAATGATAGCATGTTTAAGTCAGAGTTGCAACATCGTTCGGTGTTCAGGTGATAGGGAAAGGATCCTATGGAAAGGCACGAGCAAGGGCGTTTGTGACAGAGGTGATGTTTTGTTGGTGGCTGAACTAGGTGATGCTCGTGCGGCACAAGACCGAGGGAGAGGAACCAGTAGTCTATGCAATGAAGATGCTCCGCAAGGATTTGTTATGCGAGTGGTTCCGGCGCCTTGCGATCGGCGTGATTCAACTTTTGAGGGCTCAGTGGAAAGTCAAAAGTCATTACTTGGTGAGTATCGGTATATTTCAGAATTGCAGGAGAATGTGATAAAGCGAAACCAAGTTGAGCACACGAAGACCGAGAGAAATGTATTGGAGGCGCATCTTTACTGTAACATCGAAAGCCAGCCGATAGGCTAGGCTGGAGTTGTTGATGGGCGAACGAATCTGGCCAGTTTGGGTAGGGCAAACCCAGAGCCTGGTGGGGGAGAGCGAAAAAACGAAGGTGGTCCGAAAAGCAATGAACATGTATGGTTTTTGGGGGAAGTGATGTAATTGACACCGAAGAGTGCATCATTAGCATCATGAGGGGCTCAGGAGGCTATTTGGACAGTCATTCGACAAGGTGGGAGGACAGGAAAGGGGGGACAACGTGGGTCGGAAGTCCACCAGGAAAATGAGATGTGCATCTCTCAACACTCTGTTTTCTTGTGGCTAGTAAGAGTGTAAGGGAACGCAAGAAACGACTTCACCCGTGGAGGACAGGAGAGGGAACAGAATGCAGTCGGCAAGCTTTGAGTTGCTTGGGGGAGCCCATTTTAATGTCCTGCCACTTCATTTCTCTATTGAGCCCGGTCCGTCATTTCACTTCTTTATTAGACCCGGTCCGTCAGTTCACTTCTCTACTCAAGCCCGGTCCGTCGTCTCACTTCTCTGTTGAATCCGGCCCGTGTTTTCATTTCTCTATTAAGCCCGGTCGGTCATTTGATTTCTCCGAGTACAAGGCTTCAGCCTTACTTGCGCTTCACGCCGCCGGCACGAAGCACAAGGGAGGAACCAATAGCACAAATGCTATGGTGTGTTGCGCTCCGATAGGGTCACGCGCGCTGCGCGCCGCGGGCACGAAGCACAAGTGGCCAGAAACAGGTGAGCCACCACCCAAAATCACGGAGCCGACTGCGATCGGGAGTTGCAGAGGCAGAAGAAGGCAAAAAACAGCGGATAAAACTCAACGTGGAACTCTCAAAAACCTTTCAAAAAATCTAAAAATGCAACCCTGCCCATGAAAGTGACGACGCAAGTGGACTTTCTACTGGAACGGTGCTTGGCCTTTCACTCAAACCAATTTTTTCCTAACGCATGGGCTCCACTTCTATCCTATAACGGCTAATGGGCCTTGACCGAAAGAAATCGAAACCTTGTGTATACAGAGCCTGTCCATATCGTCCCTCAATGCGAGACTTTCCGCCTCTGCCTTCTATTTTCCCATGCCCGACGGCAGTTCCAGTGCGCTGTCGAGTTCACCCCATAACCACATTGATGTCTTCTTACGGAGGCTGGCTTTCGTTTCCCTTCTCAGGTTTTATGTGCTGTATATTCATATGTCAGGCCTGCTCACACGACTCACCAAAAATTCGCTGCCAATGCAAGTCAGGCGGTCTCTCACCCTTTCATTGTGACGCTACACTATGCATTTCAGACTCCGAAGAAGTCCCTGGCTCAATTCAAACGTACGGCCTCAGCAGTAAGCAGCGAGGGTTGAATGCGGCCAAGGTTGTACTTTGTCCTTGAATACTGCGTTCGCCTCAAGGGTTTTGAATGAAGAACACGCATTTGAGGGGGTTTTGCTGAAATTGCGCTCATACTGGTGACAGTAAAACTCAAGGTCCTGGTGGAGAGCTTTTCTTCCACCTTAGTCGAGCTGGACGCTTTGCGGAGGGCAGATGCAGGTACTGTGGGAGTTTGCAAGCCATGCCTTCGCGGATCAGGAGGGTGTGCTAGTTAAATTTCCCTGAACAACTAGGAACCAAATCATTAGTGCGAGCACTTCGTTGAAGATCTTGAAGCGTGAACTGTCCTGCGTTCTACCTAGAAGCTAACTTAGCCTAGTAGCGAACTATTCGCCTTAGTCGCCTTACTTAATTAAGTAGGACCTAAGTAGGAGGTGGGCCAGAAAAGGAAAAATGGCAGCGTGTCAATACTGCGTTTGGTGAACTCTGTGAGGAAGTTGCGTTTTGGTGGTGTGACTTTCAAGTCCTTTGTTTTGTTGTCTTGGCTGGAAAGCAAGGGACTGGACCCCTTGCAGCAGGAGGTGCACAATTTCATCACTGAGCTTCGAACGTTCTTGAAATACAACCATCAGAGACATGGGCCATGAGTGTGAAGAAGTGTATATGTTCTCTTCACATGGAAATGCATGAACCATGAACACATTCCTTTTGTGGAAGAACTTCAAGACTACACCTTGCGTTTTTTGTGAATTCTCCAGCACGGTCTGTTGCAACCTCCACGGGAACTTGCGCTTCCAAATCTTCGGCTGTGGGACCCAACGTGGCCGTCTCTGCAATGTTGCACTGCTTCAGCGGGCTGCTCCGATGGCTGCTGAAGAGATGTCGCCGGCGAACAGTGAAGGCGATGGAACCAGCAAGCCTGCTGCAGTCTTCTGCTTTCCTTGCTTGTTGCCTTCGTTTTCGAAGCTATATAGGTTTACTTTCTGCTCGTCCCGACGACATTCGGATTTTCCTGCTTTGGTTGGACTGGACTGACCAACTTGGAACTCTTATATAGCCACAGCGAGCGAGCAGAAGATGAAACAGCACGGAGATGCATCATGGAAACCACGATACTTGCAATGCTGAACACTGGCCCATCAATGTTATAAAGCAAGGCCGTTGTAACAGTGTGAAACAACAAACGCACTGCGGAAGGGGCTTTTGGCGTTGTTTTGTTTAGCGAACGTTTGACAACTGAAGTATTAGTTGCAGGCAGCGATGGCTTCAGTGAATGGGAAGCAGTACCGAGTCGTTAGGATCTTTGCTTGCAACAAGTTAGGAGCAAGGACGCTACTAGGGGCTCCTGGCCGTACTACTAGGAGCAAGGACGCTACTAGGAACAAAGAGTTCATATGCCACATAGCTTCATGTTCAGTTTGCTGGCTCCGTTTTTCGCATTTGAGGAACTTCAACGGCAAAATCACGCTCAGAACCGTCTCAGTCTGAGCTACTCCCAAACATACAGTGGATTGTTTGCGCAGTTGAAGTGATGCTATTCTGCTATTCATCTCTTGATCCCTTCGGTGTATGAGTTTGCCTTCAGAATATGCCAAGACATGAAGAGACATGAAGAACTTAGTAGCGATGGCTTCCAACCTAGAAGCGATGGCCTCCAACTAACCTAGTAGCGATGGCCTTTAACCTAGAAGCGATGGCTTCCAACCTAGAAGCGATGGCCTCCAACTTAGAAGCGATGGCCTCCAACCTAATGCCAAGGCATGAAGAGACTGTTTTTCCTTCATAGAACGACCTGAGGGGCTGGACTATGATCTCGCCAATGATGATGATGACGATCAGCCCACGAGACTGTCCTGCTGGGGCTTTGCCGGCAAGGAGTGAAAGGCATCATGCTCACTCGCATCGCATCGCATCTTTGGTTCGGTTTCAATTGTATACTTTTTTCCTCATTCTTTGCACACGCATTTGCTCCTTCCAGGACTATGCTCGTATGTCAGAGACGACAGAAGAGACAGCTTCGCCAGATCTATCAGAAGATGGAATGATGAGCGAAGACCTGTCCAACCCTCACCTTGTCTCAGTTTTCAACACAAAATCTGATGCTGAATCAATAGGCTTTCGCACAAGTGTCCAGTGGTGGTCGAGAGGAGTGTCTCCAGGTCAAAAGCTGAGGGTCCTCCACAGCCCCGAACAATTTTCCATGCTCTACATCAAACCTTCGATGATCTTCGTGCCTTTGAGTGAAAGCAAAGCTTCGGAGCTTGTGAAACTCTGAACATTTGGTGTTGAAATGCTTGGACACTCCAGAACACAAGTTGTAGAATCTGCAGAAGCCGAAGCGGCCAAGCCAAGGCCGGATTCTCCCTGAATTGTCGTGGAAAGGATTCGATGCCATCCAAATCCCTCCAGCACACGTCAGTCGTCAAGGTGCTTCGGTATGCTTTGACGGCTTTGCAAGATTTGCAGCGCTTCGCTAGTTGGCGTTTGAACGGTGACATGTTTGTCAGGTGATTTGCGTCGAGACTGGTATCTACGCTACCAACCTTTGAGCTATGAGCACGTGGATCTTGCTTTAGGCCCCACGGCATGCCCTTGCTCGTCGCAACGCCTTTCTTGCAGGGTTGCGCTGTTTCGCCTTGATTCCACCTACCAGGTGGAGCTGAGAGCTTGCAGCGACTTTGCGAAGAAGCGCACGGCTACGGAATCATGGTGCGCCCTGTCCAAGTTTAGGTCAGTGTAGGTGCGAAGGTTTGTCAAGACACTGCTTGTCAACTAACAAATGAATCCACATTGCAAGAGCTCGACATCTAAGGATTGCTGATTGCGTGTTCAATCACATGGCCGTTGTGGCCTCGTATCAGGAATGGCAGGAAGCTCAACATGATGGGCACAAGATGGAAGAGCTCAAGCAACGGCTTGACCACTCCTTTGGTCCTCATTTCGATCGCCATGACTTTCAGTTCCCCTGGATCCCCCTGGAGGGCGAGAAGTGGGACGATCCAAACTATACCTTTGAGGGCTGGGGATGTGGTGAATGGAGTGAGCTGCGATGGAGCGACAAGGTGGTGTCTCGCCATTTGCAACATCTTCGCATGTTGTTGGATTGTGGTGTGACAGGATTCAGGATTGATGCTGCCAAACACATGAGGCCACAGCATGTGGCAAAGTATGTGGACTTCGTGCAAGGGGAAGGCGCCTTCATCTACACCGAGGTCTTATCCATGGACCGGAACGTGCATTCACAGTATGAGAGGTTGGGTTTTGGTCTGCCATCCACAGACTTTCTTCTCGCAGCCTCGCTTGCAAAGACTTGGCGAGAATCCGACGCAGGGCACTTATCTGCCGAGTTGCAGGCAGCAGAGCACCTGGGAAGCCACTCCGTCCAGTTTGTCAGAAACCACGACACCATGCTCAACGATGGGCCAGCCATTTGTGGAATTGATTGGTCCAGTGCAGAAGAAGCATTCTTGGCCTGGGCATACTTGATCGCTAAGAATGAAGGTAGCGTGCTGCTCCACCAGGATGACATTCACACACCCGTCGTTCAGGCAGCTTTAGCCTTCAGATCAGCCTTGTCATCAGTGTTGGCTTCGGCTGTTCCTTACTCCATTAAGGCTGAGCTGGTGGCTTGGCCTCCGCCCAACTACAAGACCATTGCAATGATGCTCACTCTAGCAGAGTGTCCAGTGGGCTTGGCCGTTTTCAATATAACTTCGCAGAAGCAGAACATGGAAATCCCTTGGCAGCTGGAGAACTACAGCTTGCAGGAAGTGAAGGCAAACTCTCGTGATGAACACCTGCAGGCGGACTGGGTCACCCCACGGGACATGCGCGCTGTGAAGCAGGATTAATTGATACTTGCCTTCGCTCGTCCTGGACACCTAGTTGACAATTGCACGGGCACGAGCTGCTTCCTTTTCTCACAATTGGTTGTTTTCAACATTGGGTTATATTGGATTGTTAATTAGGATGCAAAGGGACTTCGAAGATGGTAAGGACGTATTCACAAGGTGTTTCGTCATTGAGTTCCCGAGTGCCCCGAGTATTTTGGCAGGCTGGATGCTCTCCTAAGCATTTGGATAAGCATTTGCAGCCACGGATGGCTCGCTTCTTCCTGTTGGAGTGTTTCACAGGGCCGTTGATCCAGCCAAACCCACAGCTTCGCTACATGACGCGACTTGGCACCTTAAGACAGATTATATACATGCTACTTGCAGGATGATTTAAAGTGACCTTAAACTTAATAGCGATGGCCTCCAACCTAAGAGCGTTAAGGCATACTTGGTTGAAAACTCTGATGGTGGAAGCGCAACATTTTTGTGCCTTGTGGATTGTGACCATCTCAAAGTATGTTCCCTCAGGCTGTTCTACTACTGTGGCTGGGAATGTCCCCATATCCATTTCTGCGTTGAACACGTTTGGACCAACGTGCCTGGTTGGGTCCTGAGAAAGTGCGACAAACCAGCTGTGCAAGGCGCTCTCCACATGTTTGAAGGAAAGATGCCAAAGAGAAACAAGTTAAGTTTCCCTAACTAACCTTTCAGGAACCAAATCAATCATGCAAAGGGTTCTTCAAGGACAATCTGTCTAGGAGCTGCTTGCAAGCTAGAATTATTAGCGTACGTCTTCCCAACCCCCCTGTGGCCTCCAGAGACGAGAGACTAGGCTCCCACGGGTAGGTCCGTGCTCCGATCAGTCCGATCGGTCTGACCGCAGGCTTCAAGCTGCCCAAATCGTCGCATCATGGACGCTGGTGGCGTGTGGACATCCCTCTGAGGAAGCGCTGTTCCGTGGAGTTTGTTCTGAACGATGGAGGTCATAGCGCCTTGGCAAAGACATCGGAAGTGACTCAGGTTATTCAGAAGATTCAAAAGAACTTGCAATTGTTCTGTCAGCATTGTTTGTGTGGGTAGGGAGAGCAGTTATGATTTGATTTACAGCTTGACTGTCAAGCTGTTTGTTGTGTAGGCTGGGACAACCATCCCAGTGCCCTGGGAAATTATATCGCTGAAATGCCTGGCTTGCACATCCTGGTGAACAAGAAGCTAGCGCGGCTTGGATTTAAAGGCTTGGATAGTTCCATTTGTCCTGTTTGCAGAGCGGATTTTGGTTGAGTTCTCCATTTGTATCTAAGGAGCTTATGCCTGTAGAATCGAAGGAGTCCCCAAAGTGAGGGATGAATTAAAGGTAGGTGTAGTGCACAATTTCTCAATCCTGGGAGATGATCAGACAACTTTGCAGATATAATATGTACTGTAGATAGATATATGTGGAGATGTTTCGACAATTAGATACAACAAGTGATTTTGATCGATCCCCATGACTGTTTCTCCAAAGCCGACCGCAAGTGTTCAGATGCCATAAGCCTTTGAGCTGGCATTGAAAGATCATGAGCTTCAATTGAATCAATTGAGCGGCCGAATGCCTCTTTATTCCATTTTTCTCCAGGCCCGCGTTGAAACCTCTCTTTTTTGCGTTGGCCTGTGACAAAGATTTCAAGTGTCGCTGCTTGAAATGAGACAGCTTACGGCCAAGCCACAAGCTCACACTGTTTCCTGCAGTGAGATTGTTTGAGCACTTTCAGCCAGGCATGCAGACAGTGACAATGATGTACTTTTTGAATCTAGGATCATATGGTTTTGTTGATGCTTGCAAAGCCCTAGCTGAGAGTATACGACTGGAGCCTTGCACACCCGGGGCATAATTTTGGATCACGGCAGACAATGGCTAAACAAGCCTCCCAGCTCCCCCTAGTTGTTCACAAGTTCTGCAACATATCCTTTTGGTCTTAGAACTCAGAACCTTCTTCATGGTTTGATCACCTTTAGCTTCTGCCTATCGGATTATCGTCTTGTGTACACTTGGACTTTGGTCCGGGAGCGCAGTTAAGCTGCATCTACCTCCGCACAGGGCCACGAGCCTCTGACAGAGACTGGAGCGAACGCCTCGAAGCTACGGAGGGCTCATGCCATGAGGATCGTCTTGGGACGAGCAGCTTGACGAGCGGCGGCTGCCGAGAGTTCCAAAGGGCTTGGGGAGTGAAGCACATTCGGTGCGTACTGTGATGTACCATGTAAGGCAAGGATACAAAGAGAGAAGGCAAAGATACATCATTTGATGCTCCTTGGTGCTCCCCAAGCTGAAAGCCCTGCGGAAAGCTCCTGATTTGAAGAATGCTTTTAATCAAATAGAGGCAGTAGAGGTAGACGTTTGGACCTTGACGTTTTCCTCACAGTTCAAGGCCAACTTGGTGTGTGAGAGGAGTTGCTAACAATCGCTCAAGAACAAAAGCGGTTCAACCCTTTGCTTTGTCACTTCAGTCAGCTGTGTACTCCTAACATGCACATCGTAATCTTGTGTCCATGCACAACTTGCCACGCCCTGAATCTAAAAGAAGCGTGGAGAAACAAGCTTTACTCCAGTGCAGAGACCCAGATACTTGCCAGAATACGTTGAGATATGTGTGGACTTGAAGATGTTAAGGTTCTCCAAAATGAAGCTGGTCTCAACAGTCGAAACACTTGACCACTCGTGCCAGGTTCTACGCCTGTGAGATCCTGCTGGCCATCGAGTACTTGCATAGGTGCGGTTGTTCGATGTCACTCACTATGAGTCGGCAGCTTCGGGCTTGACGCTTCCAGACGAAGCATGAAGCTCCTATCACCTCGTACTTGTTGCAGAGAGATGTTGACACCATTTTGTCTTGGCTTTGGCAAGGCTTAATATCATTTACAGGGACCTGAAGCCAGAAAATATCCTGCTGGATGCTGCCGGTTGCAACCTCAGCTGAAGGAAACGTGGTTCTGAGAAGTTGCAATAGATCTTTGTGTGGCAAAATCATTTCTTTGGGCATCACCCTGACATCTGACAAACAACTGGGTGCAAAGTGGCATATCGCAAGGTATTTGTGTTGTGTGTACGGTATTTCACGAGAACAAGCTCGTGCAGCTGGTAAGGCCATGTGAAGCTAACAGACTTTGGCCTCAGCAAGGAGGGCATCCAGGAGCCAGTTCTCTTGCACACCAGGGTTTCACACCAGGGTCCATCAGAGTATCAATCACAACTGTAATGATGTTCTGAGCATTCTTTTTTCAGATTGTAAGCGAGCAAGGGATCCCCCAAACCCATGCAACTTTAAGCTTTGTCTTTTTTTGAAGTCGTGGTAGTTGACACACACACACACACACTTATGATTTTGCGTACGGAACTGAAAGCGGTTGCCACATGCCAGCCTAAGTAAACCGCCTAAGGTTCCAGGTGGTAATTTGAAGTTCAATTTGAGGCCTCCAAAACCTATAAACACGAGAGCGAACGGCGGCGACAGGGTGACGACGGGTCGTGCAGGTCTGCGGAGCTCCAAAGGCCCAAACACTCCAAAGTGAATCGCCGCTGCATTAGACGTTTACTGCAAAACACAGAAGTGGAACAGCTTGTCCATTAAGTAGGTTTCTCTCCAAGCAGGTACGTCAGTCCGGCGTCCCGGATTGACTTCACAGACCAGTGCAAGCGTCTTTGTTAGTGCCAGACTTGCACGGTCCCTGGCACCCCTGCTGTCAACCGAAGTAAAAAGCAAGCAGTACATTCCAAAAGGATCCCTGTGACTTCAAGGGTCACACGCACACACACACACACTTGAGAAAGAGAGCTTGTAAGAGCACAGTTCAGGGTGTGGAATTAGCACTTTGCCTAGATTTGTAAAATTAGCGTTAGACGAATGCACTAGCCCTTTACTGAAAATTCAGCGCTGTCCTTACGTAGGTTCCACGAAAGTCAAAGAGCAGGTACGTCAGAGTGGCCAACTCTGATATCACCAGATCAATATTGGGCGTCGTCGTTGGTAGCGGTCCCAAGTGCTCTGCCGCTACCCCCGGCTGCAGTTTTATAATGAATAACGTCGGTAACGACAAAGAGAGTCAAATAAATCAGAGTAAGAGCCTCTGGAGATGGGGTGTGAGAGGGCAGGGAGGTGCTCCTTAGTGACATGGGCCTGATCCTGGGGTAGGTGTACAGGCGGATTGTGTGAGTGCGAGATTGCAGACCGGATAGGCGGAGGCGATGGCCCCCAGCTGAAGCATAGCTCGTACTTGCCATTGCTTGATTGGGCGCCCACGGCATGAGCAAGTGTGCGGAAAGGATAAATCTGTCGTCAACATGTCGGGTGGATAGGAGGTGAAGGGTTGGTTGTTGGAGGAAGGTGTGGTGGACTTGGAGGATTGCTGCATTACATAAGGGTGATTGCTACATTACATAATGCCGATGAAAGTTGGGATCCGATGCCCGCACCACAGGTCTGCTTGTATGCGGTGCCACAAGCGGTGAAGATGCAGGTTTCGCTAGCTGCACGATGTGAGGAATGTTTTGGGTCTCGATGGTGCGTTGTCCAGAATGAAGTTCTATTCTATGTGTAGTGGGAGTGTTGGCCGACGTGTGATTAGGGTTGCCGGTGGAGTGAATGTCAATGGCGATGGTGGTGACTGAGTGTCCATTTGGTGGTGAGGCATTGCTATTTACAGTGCACACTTTTTGGACAACATGCTGCCATTCACAGCATATATGCAAAGACCTTGGTTTCTGTAACATTCCCTTCCAGTGCCCCCTGTTTGCGACGTTCTCTGCCTTTGCACATGTTATGACCACACACACATCGCAAAGCACAACACAACATTACACATTAAATACAGTGTTTCTCGATGTTTCTCGAACACAATACGTCCCAGTTGCATCAATTTCAAGTAGACACCGACAAACACATGATTTAGGGCAGCCCACAATAATTCACGACTTCGTCCGAAACAGAAAAATTCATTCCTCTGAACAAGCTGCTAGCTTGTGGCAGAACATGTCCAAGTCGCAACAAGGAAAGCAGTCTTAAAAGGCTTTGGCTAGTGACAGGCCTGTCGGAGGCCCTGTCAAAAGCAAGACAAGTGACAAGCCCCAACTATGGTAATGTGCGCAGACGGGCACCCCCAACCCCTATGCTATGCGGGGACTCTCCACAGTGTAGAATCGTGTAGAAAAGGAAAGAAGGAAAGAGAGATGAACGAAAGGAAGGTAAGGGTACCATTTAGGGTACCATTTAAAGCACGTTGCCTTCCGTTTTTAATTTTATCTTTCTTTTTGTTCAGCAGGGTTGTTTCAACGACACAGCGCCCACACAGTCTCAACCTTCTCGGCACATCGTGAGGCGGGGTCAGCGGACAATGTATGCTGTATCTAAAAGAAAGGCAAGCATGTTTCTGGACAAATTGATGCAACGATACCCAGAACATGGAACAGCAGAAGCTGCCTAGACAGCGCCCCTTCCATGTTTCAGTAAAATTGGAGCCTTGGCTGTAAATATGACTGTGATCCAATCATGGATAGGAGGTGGTAAGAATTTTATGTTTCTTGTACACTGATTGTTTAGGTTTTGATCACTGAAAGAAAGGTCGGTTTTCTGTCAACAAGACTGCTTTGAAATGCACAAACCTGCAATGAAAATCCACTGTGCGATGTACTGACTATGAATCAATGTAAGATGTTGAAGGCAACTAAACATTTTTTTTCATGTTTTCTCCACAAAGTCGTCTGACCACACCATTGGGAGGACAACTTCTCAGCAAGGTCCATGTGCGGCGCGAAGCTCAAAACAGAGACCCCCCCCCCCCCCACACACACACACACACACACACACACACCCACACACCCACAAACGTATCAGCTGATTCACCTCCAGTACCACATCTACTTTCTCCATTAACACCGTGCAGCGAGGTTGAGTCCAGAACCTGCACACAATCAAAACCGTTGGCCGGATATGTTATGAGACACAGTAATTCCTTTTGTGTCAGTTCAACAACTCACATGTTCAAGAGCAGCAAACCTTGACAATGGTATGTGGGAGACAGCTGCAAACCTGCGTGGAACCGCGGTACAGGGAAACTTGGGGCCTCTGAGGTACTCCTGAGTACCTTGCACCTGAGATCTTGGACAAAAGAGGGCATGGCAAAGCAGTTGACTGGTCGGCTGGCTTTGTTTGAAACACCATGGAAAATGCATTGCACTTGCATTTTGTCTTGCGATTCGTGTGATAAACACCAAGTCTAAAATCTTGTTTCCATATTCCATAGGTACTCTTTGGGTGCATTGATGTATGAGATGCTCACCGGGTGGTCTTCTGAGCTGTTTTCGATTCAGAAATTCAGCGACGGCTGCCTGTGATGCAGAGAGCGCCGGTCTCCATCCTGAGGCTTCCGCCTTTCTACACCAGAGATAGGGAAAAGCTCTTTGAACGTATTCGCCGGGGAGAGCTGACCTACCCCTCTTACATCACCGCCATTGCTGGGAGCATAGTATGTTACTCTCACTTTGTTAAACTTTTGAACAATGCCGAACAAATTCGTGCGAGCTTTGTAGTGCAAGCATTCCAAACAATGGGGCTGATTGTGAGAATACAGGCTCAACAGTGTAACAAGGTACTCCGTTTAGTGAAGTAGAATCAAAGCAACATGATTGATGTGATTCAGCATACATTTTGAGTAGAATTTGAGCGATGCATTAGGCAAAGAATCTACTACAGCAGCTTCTCACAGGAGCTGCAGCCTTGGATTTTGGACACACGCAGATGACGCAGACATTTGGTTTCCACCGAAGCAAGCTGAAGCAGGGAAGGACTTGGTTGTAGCCAGCGGGTTGGCTCAAGCTTCTGCCTGCGAGCAATTCGCAAGTTTCTTGAACATGTTTTGGGACAACTTGAGAGCAAATCAGTCAAGACTCAGAAAATCTCCCAGCCACAACCACTCTTGGCCATGATGATCCCATCTTCAAGATGTTGGCAATGGAGGCCGGGCTTGCAGACTCAGGAGTCATTGCAGGTTTGAGTTGAATTGGGGGCTGCATTTCGAGTCTGTCTGTATATTCTGTAGATTCATTGAGGATGATACTATAGTATGAAGTGTTTGTTGCTAGAGCCAAAAGTTCCTTCACTTCGCGGAGGCATGGCATTGGAGAATGCTTTGCGGCAACTCCTTGTCAGAGATCATCCCGCTTCTCTTCAACGGCTTGTGACTGCACCGAGGCCATGGTACCAAAAGTGTACCCCGAGTGTACCCATTCTTCAAGGGAGTACGACCTTAGTACCTGTGATGCCTTATGCGTGGTCCTAGAGTGCATCTGCAAGACATCACCAATGCCCAAACATCTGCACTGGAGCTACTGGTGTTGGTTGCCCATTTGCCGAATGGTAGGTCACAATTGCTGGATCTGGATGCTTCCAAGCTTTGCCGTCTTGCCTGGGTCCTCGGCAAGCGGCAGGAGGGGCTTCCACCTGGTAAGACTCGGTAAGACATGTACTGTATCTAGATGCTTATATGATCAAGACAGATCACCCAAGCAAAAGATTCATTCACAGTACAAACAAGTTGCAAATGGGTACAACGTGTGGCTGATTCTCAGCTGGTCAGTGGATTGAAGACGTAAGTTTTCAAGACATCAGGCGACATTTCTCAAAAGGTCAGGCTTGCAAGTCAATCGATTCAGATTTTGGAAGCAATTTTACTGAGTCCTTTCTGCCAGCCCCCAGGACGCAGGTGCGACTCGGGCAACTTCACGGACACATGAAGCAGGACTTCCGGGCCGAATGGGAGTTGCATGAGTTGCTTACCTGAAGAGAACACAATTCTCTTTCCATTGGTACAGTTGTTTGCTTTACAGGCACAACCAGGCCGAGTCACTTGATCTACATGTTCCACAAGACCTTGGAACTGTTTCTTGTGGCAAGCTTTTTTGACCATCCCTGAGTGACATGGGAGAAGCTTCCCTGAAAAACTGGCGCTTTGATTGACTGGGCTTAAAAAGACTTGGTAAACAAAAATGATCTCTCAAAGGACTATTGCTGCGCTTGCAGCCCTTGCTTCGCTTCGAAAGCTGCCGGGATGTGGGCATTGTGTCTTGGGCTTTTGCGCGGCAGAGGCTCTTGGAGAAGCAGTTTCTGCCCATAGCCTAGCAGAATAGCAAGTCTCAACAGAAGAACTGCATATGTTGAAACTGAAAGCATGCTGAAATGTTCTGTGACTCGCTTGTTTTGAATTGTCTGACGTGGGCAAAGCGCAAAAAGTCCTGAGAAAGATCAGTCTCAAATTTGTCTTCACAAAAAACGCATCTTGAGTCTATGGGACCTAGGGCCAGAAATTTGTTTTGCCCAGGCTCCACTTGATCTCAGTGTATGGAACACTCAAGCCTGGAGACCCAGCAACTTGGATACATGGGCACATGCTGTAACCGTTACCCTCTTGAAGTTGCTGACAGACTAGGTGAGTGTCAACTCTCTTTGGTTTAGCATTCCAAACAACTCGGTCGGACTCAGTCCTACAGTTCTACAGAATTTCAGAAACTCATGCCGAAGGAACATGAATGAAGGAACCTGACTTGTGAAGTTTGCTGAGGTTCCCTGTGTTACTAGTAGCGTCCTTGCTCCTTTTTAGTAAGGGCAGGAGCCCCTAGTAAAGCGTCCTTGCTTGTGAAGTTTGCTGAGGTTTCCCTGGCCAATCTTCTATGGGCCAGTGCCCTCGCCTCCGTTTCGCTTTCGCCGGTGGAGCAACTGTTAGCTGCTCACCGGGAGGTCCTGGCTGAGGCGAAGAGCGCGGAGCTTGCACGACTGCTGTGGGCTTTAGGCGCTCTTACTTTTGGCAGACATGCTAAAAGGGTGAGGATGTTTGCCAAGAATGACATGCTCTAATCCAGGGTTTGACAGAAGGTTCGGCGTGTTGGGCCCCTCAGTGAATTACCACTAAGAATAAAGATGAATTATATAAATGAACATGTGGGAGGTAGGATAGTTTCACCATCGTGGAGGACACTTGCAGAAGTCTTTTATTTCTCTTTACTATTTTTTACCTGGCAGGTTCAATGCGCGTTGCAGACACTGTCTTTCACCGGAGCAAGGAGATCATGTGGCGAGATGCCAAGACGCAGGATCTGGCAAATACCCTGTGGGCCTTGACACGTGTGGGTTGGTCGATGCCAGAGGATCTCATTAAGGAACTTGAGTCGCGCCATTTACCGACCATTGAACTGGTTGCATGTTTATCTGCCTTGGCGGAAGCTCGAAACGTGTCCAGCAGCCTGTGGCAAAAAGCGGATCCAAAGGCAGGCACTTGGTGTGGTCATTCTCCAAGTGCGCGTGCCCTAGGCACCTTGCTTTGGGCTCATGCCACAGCGCAGGTTGACCCATCCCCCAATCTCTTGAAGGAGTTGAGGATTTCAGTGATGTCTCCGCAGTCGTTGGCCAATTCCCTTTGGTCGCTGGCCAAGCTCCAAGTCGATATCCCCGCAAACGCCATCGACGAATGTCGGAAGATCCTGCAAAAAGACCTTGCAAGATTCAAGCCCCAAGAGTTTGCAAGCTGTGTGTGGGCGATTGGCTCGATGGAGAAGCCTGCTGTTGAGTTTTTTGAATCACTGCAGCTACCCGACCTGCGCCCATTTGAGGATCATCATTTATCTCAGGTGGCCTGGGCCTTTTCCTCTGCTGGAGTAAGGCGTTTGGAAGTCTTGGAGTTGCTGGCTTCTGAGATGCTCTGCCGCAATGGCTTTAGCTTGCAGGCCATTGCAAACATCACATGGGCTTTGAAGAATCTGGAGTTTGCTCAGTTTGCTCCCCACGCTGCGGCCCTCCATGCGCACCTGCAGGGTCTAGTGGCTCGGAGACTCATTTTGTCTCATGGCCTGCCGGCGAATGAAGATGTGGACTCTTTGCTTGGGATCCTTTGGGCCAATCGGGAGAATGATGTGTTGACAGGTGCTATCACAAGCTCTTTGCAACGTCTTGGCCGGAAAATGGATCTTGCCCGTCAGTCAAACCCACAATCTGGGATTCTAACACAAGCTTGCGATGAGCATGCAGACACTGATCAACCTCGATTGCAATTGGAGGTACCAGGCGTTGTAGTGATATACAAACCTCACGGCTGGGAGGTAGACACTGTCAGCACAGAACAGTCAGGACGGAAGCTCTCGACATTCATTCGTTCACGCTTTGATCTTGAAGGCTTCGTCAGCCGCCTGGATACGCCTTCAAGTGGCCTGTTGCTGTCTGCCACCTGTTATGAGGGGCTCCTTCTACTACAAGCGCAGCGTGAACTTGGCCGCTTGGAACGAGACTATTTGGTGCTCTGCCGAGGGTGGGTCCATGGTGATGGAGAGATCACCTGGAAGCTACGGCGCATTGGGCGTAAAACAGAGGTCTCTGTGTATGGCCGACCAGCATGCACCAAGGTGAAGCTTTTGGCCCAGCTCTCGGCTGATGGTCAGACATCGCAGAACAAGGTGGGCCAGCCCAATATATGTTGCAGACTTGCACACATGTCACATATGCCATACCATATATTATATATATATATATGTGTGTATATTGGTATGGAGACACTCAGGTATTATTTCATGCTATCCCAGCTAATTTGCGGGCCGGCAATGTCCTCGAATCTCACCGCGAACCGAGGTTTCTTTGCTTTGCTTGAGGATCGAATCAGGGCGCATGCATCAGATCCGCTCACATTTGGCTCACATGGGGCATCCTGTCGTGGGGGACCAGCGCTACTCGGAGGCAGTGCACTTCGAAAAGGGCTTTGCTGCTCGGCACTCGAGGCAAACACCTTTGGCGGTTCGTCAAAAGACCGTAACTCAGACGATTGAATCAGAACCTCCCCTGGCTGCCGAGGCACCTCATTTTTTGCATCGCTACCGGTTGTCCTTCTATGACCTGTATGACAAAAGGCATGAAGCCTTTTGCCCTTTACCACAGCATCTCACAGAGTATTTGGGGAAGTGCAGCCCACATCAGGGCTCGGAGAACTTGCAGCCATGGCTAGAAGGCTACCTTCAGAGCTGGTCAGATCTTCGGCGAAGCCGCTGGGTGAGAATCAGTGGGATCAAATAGACATTATATATATAATTTGTATCAAAAAGAATACGTACTCCCCCCAACTCCTTTGGTCCTGGAATGGTGGTTCCCTGGTCGCTTGGTCCCTTGGTCGTCTGGTCTTTTGTTCTCTGGTCCGTTGGTCGGTCCTTGGTCCTTTGGTCCTGGTCTTCGTGTCCTTGGGTCTGTACTTTCGAGGCAAGACGCGTGAAGGGTGATTTGGAAATTTCCTGGTCATACATCCTGTGAAGCACCGTAGCAGACCTTTTATCACCAGACATACTAGCGCTGGGGTTTAGTCACCCGGGTTTGCAGAAAGTCACCCGGCCGCATGGAAACGCAACATTAGTCAAAAGTCACCCGGCTGGCGAAAAGCACCCGCTCTATGTTAAAACACAATGTAAACGCTCTACGGAAGTATGTTTGTCAAAGCTGCTATACATCAAGAATTCACTGCCCCTGTGCAGGAAAGAACTAGTTTTATGTCGAAGTTTGCAGCATTTTGGTGACCGAACCCCAATCAAGACGACTTTCTACAAGACCAGACGACTTAACACAAGTGTTTGTAGCAGACCTTTTGTGAGCCACCCGACGGTAAAATTTAGACAAAGGAGGTGCCATTCCAAGGTAGCAAGTGAGCCATGCCGAGGGTAAGATTTAGAACCATTCCAACGTAGCAGACCTTTTGTCAGCCTTGCCAGGGTAAAATTTAGAGAAGTTGCCATTCCGACGTAGCAGGCTTTTGCTTTGAGCAACCTGAGGGTAGAGTTTGGAGAAGGAAGGTGCTATTGTTCCACCGTAGCAGAACTTTTGTGACCCACCGGGGATAATATCTAGAGGAGGAAGGTGCCACGCCAAGGTAGCAGACCTTTTGTGGGCAAAATTAAAAGAGGAAGGAACCACTCCAGGTATTTTTTTTGGTCTGGCATTACTTTCAATGGTACCATAGACGCAACATGTGGTTCAATTATATTAGACTTTTAATGAATCAATGCGTTCTTTCTATCTGCTTTCTTCTTCCAGGTCGGCTCTCAAACGGGACTGAATCTGGCCGGGCTATCAAACAATCTATTTATATTCATTCACAAAGAGCTGCACCTGCCACTGCGAACCGCCGTGGTAGTGCTGCGATGTGAGTTTTGATGTGCAAATTTCGTGGCAAACGCAGCACTTTGAGCACCTTCAGCTGCAGATTTCGTGGCGAGCGTGGCACTTTGTGCACTGGAAGTGCAGATTTCCTAGCAAGCGCAGCACTTCGTGACACTCGAAGTGCAGATTTCGTGGCAGGCGCAACGACTTGTGAACCTTGAAGTGCAAATTTCGTGGCAAGGGCAGCACTTTGTGAACCTCGAAGTGCAGATTTCGTGGGAGGCGCGGCGGTGGGCAAACCTCTAAGTGCAGATTTCGTGGCAGGCGCAGCGATTGTGTACCTCGAAGTGCAGATTGCATACCTGAAGTGCAGATTGCGTGGCAGGCATTTTTGTGGATCTCAAGACCTCTGAAAAGAGCCCTTGATATCCCTGGATCTGAAGACCTCTGGACCTCTCTCTGCATGTCAAAACCTTTCTGGACCTTTTTGGATCTTGGCCTTTTGCTTTCGATAGATTTCAAGACCTGTCGATCTCAAGACTAGATGGATCTCAAGACCTCTCTGAGTCCCGAGATCTCTAGACTCTAGCCCTGGGGATGGCTCACCAAAGGTCTGCTACGTTGAAATGGTACCTTCCTCCTTTACCCTCAATTGGCTCACAAAAGGTCTGCTAGAAGACGTCCAGCACCATTACTGCAAAAACCTTTGAGCAGCCTTTTACGTTTACTTAGATGTAGACTGCGAAATCAGACCAGATACAGACATTAGCTATTCGTTGGAGGCTTGAAATGTTACACCCAAAGTCACTGTACTCATCCACGCTGGAAGGTTGGGTGCCAGCTGGTGGATTGATGGATGCGCTGCATGATCCAAAAAAGGTGCTTTCTGGTGTATTGTTGATCCAAGCTGTCATGTGAACACTGCCTTATGCGTTGTAGCACGCTGTTGGACATCACTGAGGATCCTGCGAAGAGACTTGGAGGTGGACCCTCTGACGGTGAGGAGGCAGTATGGGCTGGGCCCAGCGGAGTTGCATTTGCAAGTTTGCTACCACGGAGCCAATCCCTTTGCCCTGAATGAGCTGAATGCACCCCAGAATAGATTCAAGCTCAGCCTGAAATGACCGAGAAGTCCCATGCCAGGTCAAAGGCCACCCCTTCTTCACCGGCATTGATTGGTTGGCGATCCTACACCGCAGAGCAGGGCTCTCATTTCTTGTTCAACACTTCTGTCCAGCCGCCAGCCGACATGAATGCTGTCTAAGGCTTACAAAGGTGGTGAGGATATATAGGTCATAGGTAGTGTGGCCTTGCTGCAGTATCTACTGCAGTAAAATATCAGATTATGATTGTATCGTGAAGTACCACTTCTTCACTGCATGAAGTTGAAGGTCAGACGGTCATGCTCAGTTGCTCTTTTAGACAAACATGTAGATCTCCTTTTTAAGAATCCCATGGGAAAGCACGCCATTGAGGTCATTCCACCATTCAAGCCCAACGTCTCAGAGGCCCCGATCAGCTGACGCGGAAAGCCAATCAAAAACATAAGTTCACTTTTCGTAGGCAAGATGGAATGCTTGGACTTGTGGGTTGGAGGGAAGATGCAAGTGTCCAGGGTCAACAATTGGAGATAAGACATGTGCCAGGTCTTGTCGACTCCAGCCTTTCACCACCTAACCGATGGTCTTAGCAGAAGGAGGGTTTCCTACTTCAAGGTGGCTTCCCTTCCAAAGTATATAGGATACACGGCATATGTTCGCCGTGCTGAGCAAGTTTGAAGGCTTTCTTGGTGCTCCTTGCATCGCTGTGCCATAGCATTGCATGTTCGCTCAAGGATGTGTATCATCCCATGGAAACGGGCAGGGGGGCGATTCCTTGAGTGATTTCGCTTTGGTGTGGATCCCTTCCTTGTTTTCGAGAAATATGCACCTCAGCATACCTCAACTGGCCTCCACTCCTGGCAGGAGGGTGATGTGAAGTACTTCGACAAGGAGTTCGTTGACTTGCCAGTGTGGCGCTGTGAAGGAAGACTCGTGTTTGGTTGCACCTTGTGGCATGCGGCAGTTACCCTTCAGTAACGTCAACCTTCCCATCCATAGTAAAACTTTCATTTTGGAGCAGAGGTTGTAATTGATCATTTAACTTTCGTACTCGGCAAAGTTTTGTCTTAGTTGTACTAAGGCAAGCACTATGTCATGAGAACGTAGGCCTGTCTACGATGTCTTTCCCAGGTCGTAAACTCTGAAGTGGCGGATGGAGCGCACCTTCGGGATGTGAACCACTTTGAGGCTGCATTTGGTCAAGGGGTAAATCTGAGTATGAAAGGGTTTGGTAACGTTTAATGCTTCAGATTGAACATTTTGAGCTAGCTTTTGAGCTTGCAGGGCTTCACCTACCAAGCCTCGGATTTGGACGAGCGTGCCAGACCCTGAGCATTGGATCCCGCACTCCTGGGCGGAAGGCGTTCCAGAGCTCTACCTGAGATACTTTACTCTTAAACTACTGCTTACCCTTCCTACTGAAAAAGAAAGGATTTACTTGAAACACATTTTGCAGGCAGGATCCCAAGTTCACAGGGCACGTGCATTTGTGCGTGTGCAGTGTCTTGCAGATTCACCACGCGCCCTGGTCACTGTCTCATGGAAATCAATATTCATCAATACTCTTCTGACAAACGCTGTTTTGCACGCGGTTCATGTAGGAAGGCCAGGGCTGTCCTCAAGGCTGTGACGGCCTAGCAGCTGTCCAGCCTCTTTGGCTTCTGCCTTTGGCCCGAAACAGGTTTCCTCGTGCCCAGACTCTTGGTTTTAGTGAGAGTTTGCTCAAACAAAATGTGAACATCCTCATTCTGGTATAAATAAACACAATATATATATATATATATTGTTATACTGTAGACATGTCATTTGGCTCACCTGAGCACACCTCAGCACCTTGAAGTTGACATACCAATGGTTGACGGCACGCGATGCTTCTCGGGCCTGGCGGCCCGCTCGCCCGGCGAAGCCGGCCGGGTGCCCGGGCCTCCGCTCGTCCATGAGCCTTTCCGTTGAGAAGATCTCCTAGTAACAATGGCCTCCATCCTTGCTCCTAGTAATTAGCGATGCCAGGCGTTCCGTGTGTTGGGATTGCTTTGCCAGTTGGCTTCTAGATATCATGTTCCGCATCCCAAAACTGAATTTGCCAATTGGTTCAGGAAAGGCTTTTGGGAGCACAGCGACCAACGGCCGCAAGTACATAAATTCCCGTGCCGCTAGTCACTCTCCGTTACGGAGAGCGCTTGTTGCTCCGATGCTCAGTGACCGATTTTCGATGCTCACTTCGGATTGCTCGGTCTACAGAGGAGCTCCTAGATGTGCAAAGTGGATGTCCTCGATGCCCAGGAAAAAGGAGTTTGGAGTTGTTGGTTTGCCATTTTGCTGCCATGCACCGTTGAGGTTGAAAGAAGCATAAAGAAGCAAGATACTATACTCGTTAGTTAAGTCAGGCCAGCAAATACAGCAGCAGATGGGAAGAGCCAAGGATCACAGCAAAATACAGTGAAGGTAAGTCACGCAGCAGTCCAAGAGGAAGAACGCAGGACAGAGGAAGTGACCCGACATCCAAGGCTAAACATCGGAATCACCAAGCCTCCAAAAGCTCTCAATTGAATCCGAGTTGCCTGAACTTGGCATGTAGTTCTGCTGCGAACTTGTTGGTCTCAGGCAACTCGCCTTTGTCTTTCTTTGCCTTTACAGTTCATGGTTTGGCCACCCCACACGCCCCCTGTTAAGAAAGCGCAAGGGCCTCTGAGAGAAAAATACTATATATCTCATCTATCTATAAACATGGCTTTGCGTTTCAAACGATCAGATAGATAGCAAGATAGGCAAGATTCATGAACATCCTACACTTGCCTTTCCAAGAGAAAGGCCGTCCAATCATCGACTGTGCGGACTGGTCGCAACAGGCCGTTCCCCTCAACTATGTGCTATTCGCACATGAACCAGGCAGACTGAGGATTGCACCATTTCCCAAAAACGTTAGAAGTGGTATCAAAAGGTACTAGGAACAAGGACGCTACTAGATGCTACTAGTAGCTCCTGGCATCGCCACTAGGAGCAAGGACGCTACTAGGGGCTCCTGGCCTTACTACTAGGAACAAGGACGCTAGGATCCAATCGCCAGATGGCGGCAACAATCCCTTTGATCCACCCCGCGCCAACAGCCGTGCGTGGAATCGCTCAGTGTGTGGGAGCTTGGGTTGAGGTTGGCCTTAGCTTAAGCGTAGCTTTTATGTCATCAAGATGCTGCCTTTAAGCCGTCGCCGGCAATCGAAGAGTTTTTAGCGACAGCGCTGTAGCCTTTGTGCGATTGTGCCCTCGACCTTTTCCCTGTCGACGCGTGATTGCGGATTATATCGCCAGCCTGCGACCCGCCTTGTCGAAGTGATGCTCATTTGGCCGGTGGATCTGCATGCTCAAGCTCACGACAGATTGCCAAAGAAGCGAGACTGGACCGCGCTTGACCGGGTTGTGCTCGGTGACATTCTTTGTGCTCGGTTCGCATGACGCTTCTTTTTGCGTAGGGAGTGGACTACAATCTCGTCATCTCACGCGTTGGAAGTGGGCTCAGCATGGCTCAGCCATTGTTCTCACCCAACACCACGGCCCAGCAACGCTAGATTTCATGCAAGCACCCGCAAACGCCTCCGGAAGCAGGTCTTTTTCTTTCTGGCTGGTCAGAAGCAATGCTGCCCAAGCAAGAGGGCGTGCGAGATGAATGAAGCGCTCAGCCGATCCGAATCTGGTCATCGGAAAGTGAAGGTCTCGAAGGTCTTAGGACATCACATGCGCCTGAGTGGAGTTCACCAAATGGATGGTGTAGAGTAACGTTTTTCATGTGGCATTGCCGGGTGCTCTATCAAGCAAAGCTTACCAGCTTGCTGTGCCAGCTTGCTGTAAGCCCCAAGCATGCCCAAGCATGTCAGCGCAACAAGTACGAACTTATTGGCAACAGCCTGCAACAGCTATCTGATTCACCTCTTTACGACGTAGAACGAAGGCATTGAACGCCCCGGGCCCCAACTATGCTCCAAATTTGCGCAGGGTTCTTGCATCCGGCAGCTCGCTGAAATGTGCAGCGCTCATGTTTTGGATCGGAGGCGGGGCGAGTGACAGCGCACCATATACCCTATATGCGTCGGGCTGCGTTGGTCCATCGTTGCCTGGTTATGCGGCATTAAAGGATGACCTCTCCACTAAAGATTTACTGTATTTGGAGGGGGGTTGACCCATGAGTTAATGTTTCTCAATTAATTGTTTTTCCTGACAATTAAGAACACATGCATTTTCCTGGTGTATCATGTCTATTTGAGAAACAATCAAGCGGTGGTGGAGAGGTCGCTCACCCCTCAATTAACTATCGCAGAGGGTCGAGGAGGCGGTTAGGCCTCCTACTTCTTGCCTCCCCTCCCATACTTCCTGCCCCCTGCAGGACCCATATCTAGGAGGGCCTCCTGCTTCCTGCCACCCCTCCAAGATCTATATCATCCTATATCCAGTATCCACCCATATTTAATCATATTTAGGAGGCGCCTGGGCCTTTACCCTCGAGGACCAGGCCTAGGAGGCGGCAGCGACCCGGCCTCCGAACCGTTTCCGTGGATATTCGCAGCCCACTGCTTGCGCGTGGGGCTTGCGTGTAGCCGTGGCGCCGGCAAAATCGCTGGGCTCCTCGTTGCGTCCTTGCTCGAGTTCCCATGGCAGGGGGCGACACGCCTGCTATCATGATCGTCCAACGCTGATGGTTACCAGGGGTCATTTCACGGACCCCGCCCTCCTGAACACTAATGGGACAAAGGAATGCCTAAGACAAAGCGTGACGAAAGGGAACACCAAAAATCAAAGGGCTATCCCTCAGCTTACCCAACACCCATCAAATGTTCGACTTTGTGTCACGCACCTTGTGGGTAAATAACATTATTTTTGTTGAAATACATGATGAGCTATGGGGGACCACACAAACACCAAGCAGATCAAAAAAGACACAAAGTGGACAGTCCCACAGATTTCAAAGCCCTAGCAAAAACGAAAAAGCGAAATAGCGGCCGCACATGTTCACGCGAAGGGCAAAAAAGTAGGCTCAGGTGGCCAACTCAGGGGAAGTGCGAAGGTTCGGACCAAGTGGCGTTCGACGCAAGGAAACGCACAAAACTGTCAAGACCCGAAGGGCTGGAAGTTTCACATCCTTTGGAAGCTGGCGCCACGGAACCATGCACTATGCAGCAAGTGCCTGCTGCAACTTCAAATCGAGCTTCGTGAGCCCGTCGGCATGCAGTGTACCGTAAGGTCTGCTACCCACGTTTTTCGTGGTAGCGGAGCACGAGTCCTACCGGAAGATTGTCGCCAAAGCAGTCAGCATCGCCAACGAGGCGACGGGATCGTGAGAGAAGTCCACCACCGGAAAGAGAAAGTGGTGGTACGAATGGTCCTACCATTCCAGCGAATGTACCGGCACCAACGAGTCCAACACCGAGTGCTTATGTGGACCCACCACCAGCTCCTGTCAGTGCTACCAGTCCGACCGGAGGTCAAGGTTTGACACAGGACGCGTTGATAGAGGTCTTGAGGATGTACTGAAGGATCAGGAACAGAGAGAAGCAGATGAACGCAAAAGGAAGGAAGAAGAGGAGAAACAAACTGCCGAGGAAGCAGCAGCTGCATCGCTTTCAACAGCTACCGGTTCATTCTTTGTAGCACCCAAGAAAACTGACTCAAAGTAGCCTGGAAGCAGTGGAGGGTTTTCTTGAACTCCCGGTCGCCAGCCTTGCCTCAGCGCGTATCCCTCTCCAAGCAGGTCGGGGTCTGACACCGGCAGTACTCACAGCGCAGCCAGCTTACTGTGCATCGTGGGCCGAAACCCTTCCAGTTTTGCACAGGACATCCAACTGACGGCCTCAGCCACTCACCTTGGTTTTCAAACGCATGATCCAATCATCACCCTACATCTTGCAACAGCAGCGATGAAATCCACGGAGTACACCAACGGCAGTTCCTCCTTCCCATGGTGCTAGGGGAAGGGCTATCACATCTCCGACGAGGACGTGCGTACTTTCGCTTTCATGTCGGTCTTTGATGGTGATGACTACGCACGACGAGCTCAACAACGAAAAGAGGCAGAAAATGTTGTTCGTCGCACCCGGGCTCTTCGCATCATGAGCGAGCTCAAAAACTCCACGGTCCGTCATCCAATTTGCACCTTTCTATGGTCTGGAAGAAACGATGGGACCACAAGTTTGTGCACCAAGGGAAAACAAAGTTTGGACAATGCTTTTGAAAGGCATTCGCCCAAGATGGAATGGTCCTAGAAGAGTGATCTTTCATACTTTCATGAAGTCCTGAACCACCAAGTTCATGAAGATGAACGTCGCTAGTACTTTAGATCCTCATGAACAACCAGCCCCTTTGCTGCTCTACAAAGAGTACCTGGAATGATCACGAAAGGTAGCTTGAGCTACCTGAGTTCTCCTTGCTTTAGCAAAAATGTATTACAATCAGGAGTTGGGATTGTGCATTGAGTTTGGTCCTGTAAGAGTTGATTCTGTTCGTCGGGGGGGGTGAAAGAGTGACTAGGGCGTACACGGTAGAGGTGCAGACCGCTAG